ATAGTTTTTTAAAGTAACTTAAAATAAATCATAAGGCCAAAACCGGTTTGGCTCAGTGGATAGAGCGTCAGCCTGCGGACTGAAAGGTCCCAGGTTCGATTCTGGTCAAGGGCATGTACCTTGGTTGCAGGCACATCCCCAGAGGGGGTGTGCAAGAAGCAGCTGATAGATGATTCTCTCTCATCGATGTTTCTAACTCTCCCTCTCTTTTCCTCTCTGTAAAAAAATCAATATATTTAAAAAAAATAAAAATAAATAAATCATAAGTACTAGAAGCACACTGTTGAAAACTATTTTGGTAACTTACATACCCTTTCCTTGTTGGGTTTATCGATAAACACAGGTAGGGAATGTATGTAAATATAGCTTCAGGTCTAATGTAGACAGTTTAGAAGTGAGAGAGCCATTAAATCTGCAGTCCTTAGTCTGAGGGCGTCATCCTGTAGTTATAAAACTGAGAGGATTTACACAATTGAATTAAATCAACAAGCATCATTAATGATTTCTAAAAATGCCTCCAGATGGCCTGCGATTCTAGTTTATGATCACCAGAGAATGAAGTCTCTCTTTCAGAGCATCATGACTACAGAGCATGGATAAGCGCCTTCCACCTGACTCAGTAATGCTTGTGGAGGTTCTACAAGTCATTTGGTAAACACATCAGAAACCATCTTTATTCCACTGACTCCACGTTAGAATAGCAATTAACCAGAGGGAACAAGCATATAGTAGTTTAAGAGCATGAACTCTGGAACCAGAATATCTGAGTTTGAGTTTAAGCCAGCCCTGCTTCTGCACACGAGGTTAGAAATGTAACATGGCACATACAGTGCGTAATACATGACTAGCACATGCCCCGGGTTGCGGGTTCGATCCCCAGTAGAGGGCGTGCATGCAGGAGGCAGCCGATTGATGGTGTTTCTCATCATTGATGTTCCTCTCTCTTTCTCTCTGAAATAAAAACATTTTTAAAAAAACAAAGTTGTTTTCTTTTTTAATATATTTTATCATTTGTTTGTTTTTTTATAGAGAGGAAGGGAGAGGGAGAGCTAGAAACACTGATGAGAGAGAAACATCAATCAGCTGCCTCCTGCACACTCGCCTCTGGGGATGTGCCCACAACCAAGGTACATGCCCAACTGGAATCGAACCTGGGACCTTTCAGTCCGCAGCTGACGCTCTATCCACTGAGCCAAACCGGTTAGGGCACAAAGCTGTTTTCTGAATGGATCTTTACTAGAGCTTGTTATCCTGCTTCTGATAAAAACATGCATTCTAGTCAAGTGAGGATGTATGGCTGATGTGCCTACGCTCTTGTCTGTATGTGTAGGGAAAGGGTGTGGAGGAAGGTCTCCAACCAGCATCCACTTCATTAGCTTACGTATGTCCAGAGAGAGAGACTTTTTTCTATGCTGGTCACATTTTAAAACGACCTAAATCCTCAAGATTTGCTAGATTAATATGTCTCTCAAAGTGCCAGTACATAAGACACCTATTTGAGAATGAACAGTCACATACACCAGAAAACTATGTAAAACTCAGGGCACCTTCAAAGCGAAGCAGCCATGTCAACACTGTCACTGTCTTCCAGGGGCACTTTGACTGGAAGGCTACCTTTCTTATCTAATAGAGGTTCACGTGATTCAAAGAGGAATGAACGATACACCCGATTTTAGGTAGGAAAGACGGGCAGTAAAAGAATCTCCTAAACCCGTGGTCGACAAACTGTGGCTCACAAGCCACATGCGGCTCTTTGGCCCCTTGAGGGTGGCTCTTCCACAAAATACCATGGTCTGGGTGAGTCTATTTTGAAGAAGTGGCGTTAGAAGAAGTTTACGTTGAAAAAATTTGGCTCTCCAAAGAAATTTCAATTGCCGTACTGTTGATACTTGGCTCTGTTGACTAATGAGTTTGCCCACCACTGTTCTAATCCAGGGCTACTTTTTAGTACCATCTTCTCCACTCACTCATGAGCCATGCATCTGTAAGGCAGTATTTTGGACACCAGGATAAGGCCTTCCCAAAGCTGCTGTAGTATCTAATTATTGAAGTAAAAAAAGATAGGAAAGACCTCGTAAGATGTAACTCAACTTGCCAACCAAAGCACTCTCCAAAGAGGGTCAATAGTGTGATGGCATCTGGGGAAAAAAAGATTGGGGGCTAAGATTGAAGCTTTTCTAAGGTGTGTTAGAAAAAAACACCTTTTACAGAGCTTCCATTCCTAATGAGCACGGACACAGAGCCTTTGTTCATTCTCTAAAGAGAAAAAGCATAAAGTCCTCAAACTCAAATCAAATGATTGCTTTCTTAAGACCAATCAAGATAGCTAAAACCGGGTTGGCTCAGTGGATAGAGGTCCCAGGTTTGATTCCGGTCAAAGGCATGTCCCTTGGTTGCAGGCACATCCCCAGTAGGGGGTGTGCAGGAGGCAGCTGGTCGATGTTTCTCTCTCATTGATGTTTCTAACTCTATCCCTTTCCTTCTCCCTTCCTTTCTGTAAAAAAATCAATAAAATATATTTAAAACAAAACAAAAACCAATCAAGATAAAATTTAATCCTTTTCAAGTGTCAAGTGAACATATGTACCAATATGAAATTTCCCTAAGATTTTTTTTATTTTAAATCCTCACCCAAGGACATGTTTTTATTGCTTTTAAGAGAGGAAGAGAGAAACATTGATCGATCCCGCAACCTGGGCGTGTGCCCTGACTGGGAATTGAACCCAAAACCTTTTGGTGAATGGGGACCACACCCCAACCAACCAAGCCACATCACCAGGGTGCAATTCCTCGAAGTTTTTTGGGTTTTTTTGTTTGTTTTTTTTGTCGATACACACACTCCTACAATCTGATATTCTTACTCACATTTAAGAACTACTAAAATCTATATATTCGTGTTCCAGATTGTTACAAATTCCATTGCCTATCTAGTGGCCAGCTTATTCTGGTTTTCAGGAAAAAGTCTGTTAACTGAGCCGTTCTTCACTTATAAAAAGGCAGTTTCCTTCCAAGGTAAGCCTATGATAACGTCAACCAAATGTCTCCAGCAGAAAACAGTGCTTCAAACCATGACCGATTGTTCTTACAGCTACTACCTCTGTGCGGCAGCCACAAAGGCGCATTGAGAGTGCTGGCAGCCCGGACCTGCCGTGTCCCCTCACTGTCCCGATGCTTCCCCGTAGCCTCATTCTGTCCCCGGAAGCACAATGGCCTCACCATGGAGCGGACAGAAAAGCTTAGCTGTGATTTTCAGTGCTTGTCTCCTCACAACGTTTTATTGCTCTAAGCTGCTTGGGTACCAGACAAAAGGCTTTTGTAGACAGACATCCAAAAACTCACTTGACACCAAATTTATTTCACTAGTAACCCAGGCAGTGCTGGTTTCTTACTATAAAAGCACAGAGAAAGTTATTTTTTTCTTCCCATTCAGGGCAATTTTGTCACCAATACTATGTCAACACCGTACCAGAGGGCAATTAAATGGTTAAATGACTCATTTACAGAGTGTCCCTCCCAGGTCATCAGTTTTTTAAAAACTCCATCCTAAACAAGCCACTACAATTTGACACACATTATCAATGGCTATTAAAAAAAAACCCAAATCAGCAGGTTGGCTATCCAATTTACCATAAAAAAAAATAAAAACAATATGCTGGGAAAATGCACACAAATGCTAATACTGAGCAACCTGTCCAATCTTGAATAGTTAGATCGTAAACTCTCCGATGTCATACAATGACTGAGCTTTAAGTAGATGGATTAGTAAACAGACCTAAACCTTTGTCAAGTTAGATCAGCTGCTTTGTCCAAGCAAGTTTTATGAGCTGTTCATCTCCTACAGAAACAGAAACCAATCCAATGGTCCCTCTCTATATACATTTCAAATAAATCATCTCAGATTATGAGAGAATTTCATTTTATCACCTTCCATGTCAGCATGACACTTTTTAAAGCTTGCTATGACTAACTTTAGCATACCATCCAGACATGGCCTGGAGAGAGTGCCAGAAAATAAGTTGGTCCCAAGCATTGGTCAGGCTCTGGAGTTTCGCTAGGACAATTTTCTATGTAGCAAACTACTATCTGCTGCACTAGCAGAGCAACTGCTTCCCATGATTCCTTTGTGGTCCAATGAGCTAGACGTTTCTGCATCATCAGCATTTATAATGTCCTTACATCAAGAGACAGATCTTTGGCAAAGGTTTAAAAGACCACAAAAAGCATTTTTAATTTTAAAGAATTTTAATACAAACTTAATATAAACTATTTCAGTCCCTCTTAACATGTAAGACACTGACTCAAAATACTTTTATACCATTTTTTCAAGTATTGCACAATATAGGTACAAAATTAATATTTACGATTACATTTTCTTCCATAATATATAGCAAAAATCTTTAAACCTTTAACAGAAAATACATTTTTTGAAAAAAGCAAATATTCGTACATTTTAATTCCACCACTAAAGGAATATCCTGTACACAATTTTTAGAATAGTTGATGTCTTTAAGATGGATATTTTACAATTTCAGTAAAAAAAATACAACATGAAGCTGCTGTCACAGATCACTGTAGTAAAAAGATATAAATGCAATACCATGTCGTAGAAACAATATATATATATCCTCTGATATTTTACAAACTTTGTACTAAATTAAATTATACAATTAGAAAAGACCAATAAACCCACTTATTAGTGCCAATTTTTTATAAAAAGAAAAAAATCAGCCATGTCCTTGCTATATCTTAAATACTGTAAGAGGCCATATCTGAGCGTATACTTTAAAATATACAGTCAGTATAAAATAACTTTGTGCTTGGTTGGCAAATGAAAAATGATGCATGTTTTATTTTTGTAACCAAGCTTGAATGTATCTGTACTATATGCTTTAAAAAAAAAAAAAAATCTCAAGGAGGTGAAAAAAAAAAAAAACCCTCCTCGGGCCCAAGCATTTTAACTTGTACTTTTAACTTTTACGACTTTTTTTTCCTTGCTTTTTTTAGTTAGCCATAACTGGCTGGAATTGCTGGTTAGAATACTGCATGTTGTTTAAGCTAAAATTCAAGCCATCTACAAAAGACTTCTCGTTGAGGCCTCCGTAGGCCGCAAACACATCAAAGGCATTACTGTACTGAAGAGGACTGAGGCTCAGGGGGCTGTCACCTGGGAGCATTCCACTGCTACTACTACCTTGACCCTGCATATTAGGAAAAACGAATTCCTTGGCGTTAGGAGAGAGCGCAGAGGCTTTCTGCTGCTGCGGCGGCGGCTGGGATGGCGGCTGCTGCTGCTGCTGCGGCTGCTGGCTGCCCAGGCCCAGCCCATAGAGAGAGTGCATTGAGGACGAGATGGCTTTCTGCTTCAAGAGGTCATTCACGTTCAAGCCAAGGTTGATGGGAGAAGTACGTGCAACCTTGTTGCTTCGGCCACTGTTCTTCATTTTGGTAGAGCCGAACTTGGTGGCAGCGAAAGTGGCAGTGGTAAAGGTTAAAGGCTGAGTGGAGCGGGGCATGAACGTGGGGCTGACGGCAGCAGAGTGACCAAAGGGAGGCGATGGAGAGCTGGACACGGACGAGGCCGGGTCGCTTATGGGCATAAACACCTGGGCCTCCGGGTTAAAGCTGTTTTTGATCTCTTTATCCAGCTCGCATCCGTTTTCATTATTGTCATCCACGTAGAGCACCTTCACTGGTCCCTTCTCGCCGATTTGGTAGGAAACCTCGAACGGGTCGATCCACACACTGAGATCCCGTGGCAAGTTGCCACGAACATCGCTCATGTCCAAGCCGCTCTCTTTGGATGCTTGTTCGATCACGGGGTCCACCTTCTCCCCCATGTGTATGCATCTGAACCCTGACCCTTTGTATGGCTTTTCAGGATACCAGTGCCCTTCATATTTCTTCTTCAGAAGTCTTTCAAGCTCTTCACCAAAAATGTTGACACGTCTCCTGGGAAGCTTATTGTACAAATACGAAATAATAAAATTGAGTGCTACTTGGATTTCAAGCTGCATAGCTGCTACGCCACAAAGTTAGATTTGTGTTTCAATTTCCCCACACACACCAGGGAAAAAAGTGTTCAGTTGGTGGCAGAGAAACAAATTTTCATTCAAAGTGCTGGTAGAGTAAGTTATGCTTCACCTTGAGAGGTCTTGTTCCTTAAAGAAAACAAAACAAAAGCAAACATGTACAAATGAGCTAAATGTTGAGTCCCACAGCCTGTTTTTACCCCGGAATAATTTCACTTCTGAAAAAGTCTAACAGGATAGAAAGTCTGGAAAATATAATCGGCACGAAAGACAGGCATATACAGCAGAAATTGTTTATTAAAGTTCAAAATAGCGTGGGATAACAGGATTTAGTTAAAACAATATTTTAGCCCTATAATTGTTTCTGAATAGAATAAAAATATGTCCAGAATATGTAGTGTATTCCTTTTTTTCTTTCAATTCCCACAAGAATGTTTGCTAAAAACCATCCTCAGAGTACCCATCCGTCTACCTTCATATATATGTGCCAATTTTAGAAGTTGGTAATATTCCTAGTCACCAATTTAGAAGTGGATTGTGTTTCTTGTTCATTTTGAGTATGTACTGTTCTGCTTAAATCTCCTTTATTGTTAAAAATGTAGAAATTCGAGAAGTTTGGAAGATTAATTTCCAAAGGACATTATGCTAAAAATTAAAATTACTATATACTAAATTGCCATTTTAGTGAACACTTCAAACCGAATTATCCTATACAGTTGAGGTCTTGCGTATACGAAAGGGCACACAACTGAGGCTCTTTGTGCTTTTTCTTTGCCATATATATCTATCTTTCTAAATCTGAAAGTACCTCTTCGACAGCAAACATAACAAAAGCAACCATTCATTTCACAATTCTTTATTAACCTGTTTCACGGGCAGCGTTTCTGAGCTTTATTCTGATTTTCAAAACCACCTCCCCCGCCCCCCTTCCTCGATAAGAGAGCCGCGGAGGAGAGTCCTGCACGGGAAGGTCGACCTTTAAACATTTGCTGGATCAGCACTGGGTGGGGATAAGGAAAGATCAAGGGCAAACAGACGATGTTTGCAGAGGAGATCTGTTTGTACACCGAGGTTGACTTAAAGGGACATTTAAAAGCCAGGCCGGCGTCCACCCATCTGTTCCAGGGACCACATTGGCGGTGACAAAGGGAAGAGGCTCTCCGGCTGCCCCCAAACTACAAACACTTTCCACTCCAAAGGCCTGGGCGCGGGGGGCGGCTGATTGCGCCTAATGGGCGGAAGGTGCAGACGGGGACGGAGGCTCGGCGGAAGGCAGGCGCTGGGGGTGAGGAATTACATAAACAGCCAGCGGGTCTCATTAGATTTCTGCTCACAGCCTCGGAACCCAGCGGCGGCGAGAGGAGGAGGGAGAGGAGGGAGGAGGAGGAGGACGCGGGGAGGAGGAAGACAGCACAAGCCTCCTCGGAGGAAGGGGCGGGGGAGCACGGCCACCAGAAAGGCAAAGGCAGCGTCTCGGGGCCGGGCACCGGGGCAGGTCGGGGCGCCGAGCCGGGCGCCGCCGCTCCGGGTCAGCTGCTCCCCTCCCCCCCGCGTAACCGGACCCGCCGCTCTCCGCCCCCGGCCCCAGCCTCCTGGGACGCGGCCAGCGCCCCGGAGCACCGGCTCCCCAGCACCGTCTTCGGCCGCCGTGGCCACAGGCCCCCCGAGGAGGCCCCCGAGGCCCCCGGCGTTCCCCTCGAGCCCGCCGCTCCCTCGGGGCTCCCCCAACCCCCCGAGTCCCGTCTGCTCGCCTCAGGCCTCCCCCCCTTCCCCGGTCACCCGGCCCGGGCTGAGCCCGACGCGCCGGCCGGCCGGCCCCGCCTCCGGCTCCGGCTCCGGCTCCGGGCGCGCCGGGCCCTTCGGAGCTGCCAGGAGCCGGATGTCTGGGGCCGCTCCCCTCCGCGCCGGGGCCGCGCCGCCGCCGCCCCCCCGAGCCCCCGAGCGCCGGGAGCCGGCCGCCGCTGCACCCCCTCTCCCTGCGGACCCCGCCCGCCGCCCCTCCATACTTACAGCTGCTTCCTCCGCAGGCCGGGCCGCCGGGCGGGGAGAAGGGGCGGCAGGGCGGGGGCGCGGAGGCTCCGCAGCGGCGAGCTGGCTGAGTGCACGACGACGTGGCGGGCGGAGGGCGCGGAGGGCGGCGGCCCCGGTGCTGGCTTCGGGGGGAGGGGAGGTCGGCCCTCGGACTCGGCGTGGCGAGGACGGGGTCAAGCGAGCGCGCTCACTGGTCCACACAGCGCGGTGCCCGGCCCAGCGTCCTCGTCATGCACCCACTCCGCGCCGGGCCAGAGCTTGGCTCCTTCTGCCGCGGCGCGCGCCCCGCCTCTCATTTTATAGCCTCTTCCCCGCCCCCATCCCCTCCCTTCGGGGTGCACGCGCGCCCATTGGCGTCACACAGCTCGGGGCGGCGCAACCAATCCCCGCCCTCCCGCTCCCTCGCGGGACCCCGGCCGCTGGCCCCGCCCCCGCCCGGCCCCCCGATGCCATTGGCCAGGTCCCGCCTCTGGGCCTGACGGGCAGCGCTCGGCCCGGGCGGCCAAGGCCTCTCCCCTCGGGCTCCAGGGTGGCCAATGAAACGACGCTATGGAGCTCTGTGGGCGGGACTAACACAAAACGTGGAAAGGGAGTGGGGGAGAGACATGCCAGTAAAGGGTAACAGGTGGGGTGGGGCAGGCTGACTCCGGGTTGAGGCGGAGAGCGCCGGGGAGAAGGGGGAGGGGAGCGGAGCAGGTGGCGAAGCCGCGAGGAAGACGGGGAGGGGAGTCCGAGGCCCGAGAGGGAGGGCAGAGTTTGCAGAAAGTGACCCTGCCCGAGCGGGACTGTGGCTGAGGAAAACCCCACTCGTGGACAAGCTGCCGGGTCGGCCTCCAAGTGCACCCCGGGAGAGCCTAGAGAAAGGGCGAACTGTGCCGGGGACTCGTGCACCCGATTGATTGAATATGAATCCCCCTCCGGGGCCGAAGCCAACTGCCATCCGGAGAGTGACAACTGCAGAACCCAGAGCAGCCGTGTCAGGCTGGGGGTGGGGGGGAGACCATCAGGCCACACCTCCCGCCTAGGTGACAGTTTAACCGCCTCTGCATTCCACACCGGACCTCCCGGTGACCCGGCCGCCGCTCGGAAGGAGGGCTGGGGTGAGCCTGGAAGAAGAATTGCATTTTATTCCAAATGTCCCAACCTAGGCCTCCGTGCCGAATTGCAAACAAATCTAAGTGTATATATCTATCGATGCGTGTGTTTCAAGTGCCTGCTTTAACACGAACACTTATTAAACACGGAGCCTTCCTGTAATGTGCGTTTAAGATAATTTCCGATTGAAACATGTCTGATCGGGAGAGAGAGAGAGGGAGAGAGAGAGAGAGAGAGAGGGAGAGAGAGGGGGAGAGAGAGAGAGAGACTGACTGGAGGGGGAGGGGAGCGCCCTTTTTCACAACCTGCAGCAGAGAACACACGGAGTTGACGTTGGGAGTGGAACCGGGAGTCCCTCCCGGCTAAAAATATTACAGGTAGCAACGGCGCCTGATTGGCCGCGCGTCTCCCCTAGCAACCAGGCGATTGGCTGTCTGGTATCCTGGAGACCGACGTCAAACTCGCGCTGGAAACGGGGAGAGAAAGTCTGGGGAAGGGAGGAGTGGGAGGAGGGGAAGAGGAGCAATGAATGAAACGCCCATCGCCCAGCCTTCCCTTCTTCCCTGTCCTCTGCATTCAAGGCGAGATTCCGGGAAACCGTCAGTGGGGCGCCGCCGCCTCCACCTTTAAAAATATGGGGCATTCATGCTCCACCTGCCGAAGGAAGTTCAAGTGGAACTCCTCGGGGAGTGGGGTGTCCGTGTAGACCAGCTCGGGCACAAATCCGCTTTGCATGTGAGGCCTAGAGAGGCTTTGCGCTTTAGGGACGCAAGAGCTGGATGCAGCCTTTTTCTTCGCCCTGACACTTGTGCCCTTCTGCTATCTCTACCCCCCGCCCCCCGCACTCCCCTTTTAGAAAGAACCGAATTGAAAAGGGATATTTTTGAAGTCCCAATGTGTGTGAGTGGAGGAGGAAGGGAAAATGGGTGGGTGGAATGAGATGAGGGTGAGAGTGGTCAGGTGACTGATTTCTTGTTTATTATACAGATTCCTAAACTCAGGCAGAGTTTAGTAAGGATATAGAAGTTTTAATCGGTGACTTTAATTTTTTATTTTATTTTATTTGTAATGTTTGGGCTTTTTTAGTTGTAAACAAGGAAGAGTGGGATTTGCTTGTGAAAGTATGGAAGCAATGAAAATTAATACGCCCCTTTCTTTGCATTAAAGAATGTTTTAGTATATTATTGGTTCAGTGCTTTCTTACTTTGCTCACTTATGCTTCCTGGTTGTTTTCTACAATGAACATTAATTCCATTTGGTATTTAAAAAGTAGTTTTAATTTTATAATTAGTTAAGCACAGACATTGCAAGGAACTAGGTGGGATATTTTGGGAATAGCTTACCAAGAGAAACACTTGGCTTTTCATGTGCTCCAGATAATAATTTCTCTTACCATTAAGCAAATATTACTGTACCAAACATCCAGAATTCCAAGTCCATGTGTCGGGCCATGTGTCTCTCTTTGTAATGTGGGGAATATATCACTATAATTAGAAAAGCATATTAGGCTCAGCTCAGATTGAAATGTCTAACTAAAGATAGATGAATTGTCATTTTGTCAGGCTTATCTATACTTTTCAAGAATTCTCTAAAGAGAAGGCCCAAATTCTCTTGTCTGAATACCCTCTGGGATCTGTAACCCCAGGTTTAAAATGTGAGAGGAATCATTTGAGAGGCCCTGATTAAATATGAATGGCAGGAAATGGAATTTTTAAATCAGAAGTTTAGATGTCAATAATTTATGAAATATTGCTGCTCAGGTATGAGAGGGTTTCAACCCCAATATAAATATAAATGCAAGCATACACAGACCTCATGGCACCCTGGAGAAAGTACCTGAGAGCAGGTATTGGAACATC